TCCGAAGTTAAACGTGCTCAGTGTGGAGTACAAAAAGAATGGTGACCTTATGGGAAGTCACCTTGAATTGCACCCCAAGTCAAAAACCGTGAGGGTTGAGGCCCAAAGCGGACAATATCTTCGTTGGGAAAAGGTTCGGGATGTTACATAACCTCCACCGGAGTAAGCTAACTGAGGCAATCAGATTACAACTTCCTCTACTGGTTTCTAAACAAGTACCGAGCAGGAATTGACTTCCCGACTAAGGTCGCCAATCCACTACTTTCAATTTAAGGTGCTCTATTGACCTATGTAGAGATTATCCTTCTAGGTCAAAGCAGGAATCACTAGAATGTGATCAGGACTCAAGTAATTCAAAGAAAGTACTTCAATTGGATATAAATCAATCAATCATTCAAGGCAAGGGGTTCATACAACTCATCCTAACATACAATCTAGGGTTCTTACATACCCAAGTGATAGAGGGGGATTACTCCATAGAGAGATAGTGGAAAGCTAAGCCGGATGTGGAAATCATCGTGTAGAAGGAAGAAATTGGCACCGGGTTGTCAATCGTCTCTCCTTGAGGCTTGAATCGAGCTCCCATGGTGTAGAACTTGATCTAGGGCGCTCAAGGATCTCTCTTTGTCACTTTCTTTCTCTAACCTCTGTTTTCTTACTCTAAAACTTGATTCTCCCCCAAAAAACCCGAAATTTCGCAGCTAAGAGCTGCAACTCGCGATACCCGGCCCAAATACCCGATCGGGTATTTATGGCGGTCGGCTGGGTATTTCGAAACGCAGAGCAATAACTCAGGGGAAAATACTCGTTCCAAGGCGAAAATACCCGATCGGGCTCCATTATGTTTCTTTTGGCTCTTTCGGTCGAATACCCGCTCTCCCAGCAGATTATACCCGGTCGGGTATTTGAGTGTCCTGACCGGGTATTTTGGCCTCCAGCTCCTCCTAGGCGTCAACTCTCTATTTCCAACCCAGAACTCGCTTCCAAGCCTCCATTTCCACGCCAAAGTCCTGAAATATGACATAAACGCACAACCTAGCATGAAATCGGCTTAAAACACGATAATCGACTCTAAAAAGGTTCAATAATGGTGGCCAAAACATGTGCATATAACGGTCTATCAATTTCCAAACAAGACCGTGCGTAACAGTTGTAGGATAGTGTTACACAAATCTTCTGTACAATATGATCTAATGACAAAGATTTACATAATTAACAGGTTTACGATGAAATTGAGAGTTTTTTTTATAGAGTTAACGCCTTATTATGGGCTGAACTATACCCTAATAATCAACTTTGGTTCGTGATTTCAGAAATTGTTATCCTGGCCTCAACTATACACCATATAGACTCAGTTGGCCGGACGCGTGTTTTGACCGTCAATTTGGACGGTCAACGGTCCAACTCACTGCCATATCAGCATTAATAAAAAATTCAAATTACAAATTATTTTCACATTTTCTTTATCTAATAAGGAAATAAATATCGGTAAAAAAACAAGCGGTGGTGGGTCACCCGACCCAAATCGACAGCTTATCCCCTACCTCTTCTCCGACGAGCAAAGCAAAATTGATCTTGGACCCTAACCCTTCTTCCCCGACTGCCTTCTCTTCGATTGAAATTAGGGACGACAACAGATTGGGTCGGTGACGGATAGTGCATATTTATTACCCTTCCCAAAGTAGTTCGGGTTTTACCCATATATACCCACATAAGAAAGGAGTAGAAAATCAAAATCATGCCCATACCCGTTTGGATTTTGAATATCCACGAGTAATAATTTCTCTTTATAACACCAACCACACAGACACACGTATTCTCACATTACATAAGACGAAAAATACGATAATAATTTACTAAAGTGAAGAAAATTAATTAAAGCAACCCAGTTTCATGAAAATATTTTATATTTATATGCTAAATATAAAATATGTTAGAGAAAAATAAAGATTATTTCTAGACAAAACACATATGCATGTGTATAATCGGGCGGGTTCGGGTTGGGTAGTGAGAAAACCATGCCTATCCATTACCCGCAACATTCGGTTTCGGGTTTTACCCTACCCGAATAGGCCGAATTCGGGCGGATATCCATGGTTACGAATATTTTTGTCATCCCTAATTGAAATGAAGCGGCGGATGAGGAGGAGATTCGTCGTCAGTGGCAGATACATGCATGTTTAGGGGTGTCCTAATTTGGAAACACAATTATTCAACCTCCGATAATAGTTTGCGTATGAGAAAAAAAAATATTTAAATGGTAGTGGGACACCCTTAAAATTTGGGAAAATGATTATCCAATCTCTCGTAATAGTTTACGTATTGGTACAAATACTATTTAAGTAGTAGTCTATATGATTTAAATTTGGGACACTATCACTATTAGTAAACATATTTTCAATTACACTGCAACTCATTTGTTATTGTGTTTTAGATTCAAATATAATAGTAAAATGTTATTCTTATCCCAAATTATTTTCAAAACCTAATGATTAAACCCAATTACGGGATACCCTTGTCTAGTAGGATATGTCGAGAGATATTTGTTGAGCAGTATAGTCTAGACACCGAATATATTTTACTATTTTACGAAACAAGTCTGAACTTTTAGTGTAACTTTTATTAGTCAGACCTTGTGAGATTTAATAATTATTCAATTAAATTTTTGAGAGATGACACCCCTATATAGAATTCCTGGATCCGTCAGTGTCCATCGTCAGCCCCGACACTCTCATCGGCACCACAAACCTCCAGGTCAAGACTGAAGTGGCGTCGTCAGAGCTAGCCAAGCTGTGCAACAGCCACTCCGCCGGCGCAGAAACAGATGAAAAAGGCGATCTGCTCAACCACAAAGAAGGGCTAAGATCAGGTGACTAAGAGGGGGGGCCTTAGTCACATGACTAAGTAAATCTCAGCCCTTCCACATCATTAAAATGCAATGACTCAGATTAATCTAACTTAACGAAGGACAGTATAGTAAATTCTTCTAAAATTTAATTTATTAATTAAAATTAAAAAAAAAGCAAACCTGTTCGGCTGCTCCTCTCCCTTCCGCGTGCGACGGGACTCTCCGCTGGTCCAACAAATTGCGTGGGGATTTTCTCTGGCGATGGCGTGGGGATTTTTCCCTTCGGCGGTGGAATTGGGTTTTAGTGGCAGTGGAATGTGGGTTTTGGGGACGATGTCTTTGGAGGCGAAAAGAGGTCGGCCGCCGTCGTGGTCATCGGGAGCAGTGAGCATGGCGGTGATCAGGCCACCGGTGCTTGTTCTGGCGATGACGTATCCGCAATCCTAGTGCTCTCCCCATCCAATT